ACCACACACACACACACACACACACGCGCGCGCGCACACACACACAGGCAGACAGACAGACAGACAGACACACACACACACATAGACATGGCGGGAGCAGCAGGTGGGCTGACCTGGGAAGGGGAAAAGCTGGAGGAGGCGGAGGAGCTTGACGGTGAGCCAGGGCGCCGGCACGCTGTAGTAGATGTAGTCCTCTTGCTCAGACCGCGCAAGCACAATCTGCAGAGAGGTGGTAAGATGGGAAGGGGGGAGGGGTGAGGAAGGTGGCTGGGAGGTGAGTGGCGTGGAGATAAAACTGCTTTGGCAAAGCGGACACACACACACGCAGACAGACAGACAGACAGACAGACACACGCAGACAGACAGACAGACACACACACACAGACACACACGCAGACAGACAGACAGACACACACACACACACACACACACACACACAGACACACAAAAACAAACACATACGCCCGCCGTTAATCGTACGCGGTGGAGTTTGTTGATTGCGACGGCGACGCAGCTGCGGTACTCGTCCGGGTTGGCTGAGGCGAGCGCTGTCAGCAGGCTCGCAGTCGATGTCACAACACCCTGTTGTAGTGACGGTGGAGGTGGTGGTGGAAGTTAGGGGGGGGGGAAGGAATGGAAGCGTGAAGGAATTAGTGAACACGTGGAGTGGAGAAAAAGAGCCTGTTGAATCGTACGAGACGTCCCAGCAACCAACGGCGGCGTTCACTCGCACCACGACCTTAGCCACAACTACGACCAGCAGGTGTGTGCGTTTATGTACTGACTGTGTCTGGGCTCGTGAGGAGCTGGATAACGCGTGGGGTGTACTCGGCGATGGCAACCTGCTCCGGCGCCTCCCGGAACAGCCGCAGCATTGCAAGCGCAGCCTTCTTCTTCACCGTGTTTGGCGACTCGCTGCATGCACAAGGGGAACATTGGGGGAGAGGGGCGGGTGAGGGTGTGGACATGCAAAGAGAGAGAAACGCATGTAAGTAAGCGGAAATTCCTTCTTCACCCCGACGCAGACGCAAAGACAGACAGACACAGACAGACACATGCAACACGGCAGCAAGAGCAAGCGAGGGCGTACTCTGCGACGAGAAGGCGCTGGACGAGGGTTGCGACCTCGGAGGCCGTCTCCTTGCCGCCAATGTTGCTGATGCAGTGCAGGGCGAGCGACACGTTGAGCTCGTTGCGGCTGCTGAGGTCCGTCTTGATGGCCTGGATCACCAGCCGCATCAGGTCGTGCTGCTCGTTCAGCATCACAGAGGCAAACAGGTAACCCTGTGCACACGAGAGGAGACGAAGCGCATGCAAAGGTTGAGTGGCTGCCGTGGTACATTTTGACTTCTGCATTGTGCATTGTGGACTGTCTTGTGCATTGCATGGTGCACACTCGGAACCTGCACACACATACACGTACACACACGTACACACACACACACACGTACACATGTACACACACACACACACACACACACACACACACACACACACACACACACACACACACGTACACACACACACACACACACATGCAACCACCCACCATCTGCTTCTCGGAGTAGTGGAGGGAGGAGAGGAGGTTGACGGCCTCCATGTGGCCAAACTCAACCTCGTGTCCCAGAAGGAACATGAAGATGAGCTTACACACATACTTCTTCTTCTGGTAGCCAGTCAACCCTTTCTTGTCACCTGCGTGCAGTGTGCATGAATATGCATGTGTATGCGTGTGTGTGTGTGTGTGCATGCGTGTGTGCATGCGTGAGCGAACCACTTGTGTGTATATTTGCGTGAGCGAACCATAATGTGCAGCGTGTGTACAACGATACAAGCACCATCCCAGCTGGTGCGTTGAAACGGACCAAACTTTGCGCGGATGTTGGCCAGCTCCTTGTTGATGCGCTTCAGCTCTGCCTCCTTTGATTTGCCTGTCAAGCACCATCCACGTGTGCATGTGCATGTGAGTGTGTGTGTGTGCATGTGTGTGAGCCATGAGAGGACGTGCATCAAGTTGCTGCTCCCCAAAGTGACAGCGGGCAGCCCGTGTTGTCACACCCAAATACACACACACACACACATAGACACATGCACACGCACATTCACACGCACAGACACACACAGACACACATACACACAGACACAGACAAGCGACGCTGTACGTACTGGCGCGGATGTCAGCAATAAAGTGGGAGAGCCCACGCATGTCTTCCTTGCCCATGATTGGCAGTGTGTCTGCTCCTCACACACACTCACACACACTCACACAACAAGCACGACTTGTTGAGCGTAGATCCAAGCACTGCAGCCACAGCAAGACCACTTTTGGTGGTTTGGTTCGCTGGAAAAAAATTGTGTTGTTTTTATTTTGTTGATGTTTCTGTTGATAACATGACAAAATTTCTACCCAACCAAGTGAACCCACAAGTGTGCAAGCTGGAGCTCGAACACATATGTCTCTCTTGCAAACTGTGTGATTCGGTGGTTTCACCCCGCTTAATTGCTTCTCTTGTGTGTGGTGTCGCAGCTGTCGTGCTCGTTCCCTCTGGGTTGCGCTTTGCGCTTTGTGCGTGTTGTGTGTTCTATGCTTTGCCCTTGTGGCATTGTCGCGACCCGTCGGTTCATGTGGCCATTAGGCTGTACACCCGCTTGTGCACCTCATCTCTCCAACCTTCACCTTCCGCAGTGTGTATGCTGGATGCCACCTCGCTTTCTTGTGGTGATGCAGTGAAAAGGATATCGGCTCTCCCTCTCCGTGAGTACGTGGTCAGTTAGTCGTTATCACTTCGCTTCCTCCCCACTTGTCTGGGCTTCCACTTCTCCCTCCCTTTAGAAACCACCACCACGGGCGCGGCGGGCCCTCTTCTCGCAAGAGGTTTGCCCTTGCTGCTTGCCTTTCTCTTTTTTTCCCTCAAAGAAAGAAACGTAGTGGCGTGTGGTGTGATGTGTTGTGTGGATTGTGTTGTGTGTGTGTGTGTGAGTGTGATATTGTTGTGTGTGTGTGTGTTGTGTGTTGTGTGTGAGTGAGTGAGTGTGATATTGTTGTGTGTCGTGTTGTGTGTGTGTGTGTGTGTGTTGTGTGTTGTGTGTGAGTGAGTGAGTGTGATATTGTTGTGTGTGTGTTGTGTGTGTGTGATAGTGTGCTTCGTTCATGCACAAGTGCCACAAAGCTATTCTGAGCTATTTATTTTGTATCTTGCCTGCCTTTGCCCCCCCCCCCATTCAACACCCACACATGCATATCTGCTGTCACTCGCCTTGTTTCTTTGCCCGCTTGCGTGGCCGCTCTCCATCGTCGTCATCATCACCACCAGCACCAGCACCACCTTCGACACCTTCCGCCGCCGCCGCCACCACCTTGCCCCTGCTCTTCCTCCCACCGCTCTTGCGCCGCCTCCGCCGCTCCTGCCGCTTCTTGTCGTCATCCGCCTCGTCCGCTGTGCCGCCTGCCGTGTCGTTGCCATCACCACCATCATCATTCTTGCCCTCCTTGTGCATGCTCCTTCTGCTCTTGTCCTTCGGCTTCTTCTTGCCCTTCTTGGTCTTCTTTCCGTGCTGCTTCTTCCCATCAGCACCACTCTCGCCCTCACTTGCCCACACATCACCACCACCGCCGCCAATGCGACCGGCACCGGCAGACGAGCGCCGTTTCCTGCGCTCCCGTTTGCGCTGAGGCCGCGGTGTTGTGTGTGTCGCTGCATCTGCCATGACCCGCGTCTCCTCCTCCCCTCGCAGCGCTTCCTCAATGTCCGCCTGGCTCGGGCCAACAGCCTGTGTGTGTGTGTGTGTGTGTGTGTGTGTGTGTGTGTGTGTGTGTGTGTGTGTGTGTGTGTGTGTGTGTGTGTGTGTGTGTGCGGGTGAGTTTGTCAGTTGAGTTGAATTGGATGAGCGTGAACAAGCGACATGATTGTTTTCAAGGCAGAAACAACTCCCGTTAGTTACACACCTCTGTTCGCTGCTGCTGCTGCTGCTGCTGCATGGCTGCTGGCCCTTCCTCCTCCTCCTCCTGCTGCTGCTGTTGCACATCTCCTTCTCCTCTACCTCCTCCTCTGTCCTCTTCCTCCTCGTCATCAAAGGTGATGTGAATGCGCTGTGCTGCGAGTTTGGACAGCGGGGTGTCGCGCGTGGTTGCAGCAACCCGCGGTGCGCTCGCCTCAGCCGCCAGCCACTTGCTCTTTCCGCGCCTGCACCACACACACGAGCCCACAAAGAGCCAAGGGGAGAGAGGGGAGTAGGTGAGAGAGGGAGAAGGGTGGCACGTGAGCGTGGAGGAGGGACGGTGGAAGACGACAGGAGGTCATGTGGCAGTGAGGCGGATTTAGCGTTGCATTGGTATTGAACAGCGCACCACGTACTTTGCTTTCTTCTGCTTCTGCTTCTGTTTCCGCTGCAGCTTGCTCTCGTGTATGTGTTTCCAGTACGCAACCTCCGCCGGCCCTGAAGAGTAAATCATGCATGGATATGGATGATGTGGTCATGGCAGAGCGTTTGCGCTGGTGAGTCACACGCAATCTTGGATGCAAGTACAGATGCAAAGACAGACAAAACAGAGCAAGGAACCAGACAGAGTAGGGAAACAGACAGACAGACAGAGCAGGCAGACTGAGACACACATTTACACACACACACACAAGTTTACACAGACACAGACAGACAGACAGACAGACAGACAGACAGACACAGACAGACACGACTCCGCACCCTTGAGCGCGTCAATCTTCATTGTCCCCCAGAGGTCGTCGTCGTCCGGGGGACACGTCGCCTTCCGCACGCGCTGCGCAGTGCTGCTGTCACGCATGCGCACATGGCCCTGTGCACACGCAGGCCCCGTTCATGTGTGTGTGTGTGTGTGTGTGTGTGCGTGCGTGTGCGTGTGTGTTTGTGTGTTTGTGTGTTTGTGAGCGTGATTGTCAAGGTTGATTTGCGTTGCAATCGTGAGCTGTTGGGCGCATGCGAGAGAACATATCCATTCACTGTGTTTGCAGCACATACTGCGTCATCAATGCCACACGGCACTTACACAGGTCACAGCGCACCTCTGTGTCGCCAAGCGTGAAGTCGACATACTCGATGGCCTGCCCCTCACCGGCGTCATCCACAGTCCGCCGCTGCAGATGTTCCTGTCGTCCGCAAGCAACAGGGACGGTTGGAGGGAGGGGGAGGGTTATATGCGTGTCCCATCGTTCTTCGCAGACGCATATGGACAGGCGGAGAGAAGCGCTCACGCACACGCACACGTGCACACACAAACACACACACACACGCACACACGCACGCACACACACGCACACACACGCACACACACACACACACACACACACACACACACACACACACACAAACACAAGCACAATGCACGTGTACGCTGCTCTCGACGGCCAGCGCACCTTGAGTTGCTGCTTTGTGACGCCGAGCGGAATGTGTGTAAGGCGCAGCACAACGCCCTTGACAATGGTTGAAGGATCAAATGCCGTCTCACCCTCCACTACTGCACTCGTTGCAGCAGCTGCCATGCTCGGTGCTGTTGCACCTGTCATCGTCGTTGTCGCTGCTGTTGGTGGTGTCACTGCCTCCTCCTCCTCCTCATGCTGCTGGTGCTGTCCGTGATCATCGTGGTCGCGGTAGCCGTCGTAGTTGTCGTGGCGCCTGTGTGCAAACTTGATGGATGACAGCATGCGCCGCTGTAACGCCTTGTACTCCCGCTTCAAATTCAGCCACTCGCTCCTGCCACGGCCATCGCAGCGGTGGTGGTGGTGGTGGTGACGGCAAGCGCGCGCGCGTGTGTGTGGTTGTGTGAAAGCAGCATGTTATTTGTGCGTGTGCGTATGCGAAATAACAACGTGTGCGACTGGAAGCCAAGATCGCATGACAGACAGTGACGCATATCACCATCCATCAACATGCATCTCTCATGCGATCAACACGGCCACATTGACTCACTTGAGCAGCACTCGAAAGTCCTCACCCGGATCACCAGGGGTTATCATTGCCCCACCACCACCACCACCATCACCACCTGTACTCTCCTGCTGTGTCTGCTGCTGCTGGTGCTGCTGGTGTACATGTGTATCATCATCATCACCATCACCACCATCATTGTGAAGTACTTGCTGCTGCTGCTGTGTCTCGGCCTGCAGTGTGGCTGGATCGACTGGTGGGCCCTTCCAGCACCGCGCCGCCATCGGCACAGCCGGCACATCCTGCCGTCAGGGAGAGGGGGGGGGGGAGGGGGGGGATGTGAGTTGGGGACGTGGTGAAAGTGGAAGAGACATGGCATGGGTGGTGGTAGCGGCGCAGGCAACAGATAGACAGAGAGACAGAGAGACAGAGAGACAGAGAGACAGAGAGACAGACAGACACACACACAGACACACACCTGGTGTGCGTAGTGTGCGCGGCATGCGGATGCCTCGAGCGGCGTTGCAAATTCAATAAAGGCAAAGCCCTTGTGCTTCCTGTTTGGCCACCGTGGTAGGCTGTCACCACCAAGTGTGCATGACACGTGCGGGGAGGACGTGTGTGTGTATGGCATGAGGTTTAAAGAACGTATTGATTTGAGATGGTGGGTGGGCAGCCATCACAGACACGCACACAAGCAGTGAGGCAGGCACACAGACATAGACACAGACACAGACACAGACAGACAAGACAGACAGACAGACAGACAGACACAGACACAGACACAGACACACACGTGCACTGACCTGATGTACTCGATGGTACCGAATCGTGAGAAGAGGGCGTTGATATCGTCGTGTTCAAACGCCTCTGGCAGCTTCTCCTGTCGTGCGCGTGAGGGTTAGGTCAAGGTATGCACATGATGGGGGACATGGTGAGCTTGTCTTGTCAGCGAGTGCCACACGCAGCGTGTGCATGGTCACGTGGGGGAGAACAGGGGGATGGCGGTGGGTTGAGCGTACCACGTAGATGGTGCATGCATCCACATCCTTCTCTTTGATGACGGGGTCCTTTCTGCGCACCCTCTGCCTGTCTGGGCTCAGCTGTCGTCAGGCGGCAAGGAACGCATGCGTGCAATGAGACAAAAGGAGAGCCAACGATAAAGGCACAGGCAGAGGGAAAGGCAGCGAGGAGCACATGTACGAAGGTAGGAACGCAGCGAGGAAGGCAGTCCAACAGCCAGACACACAGGCACTCTGGCCACTCACTTCGAGCGTGTCAATGTGTTCGATGGCGTGCATGACGTCCTGGATACGGGAGGTGACCGACTTGACCTTGTTGAACTTCAGGAACAGCTTGATGGGGAAGTCTGTCGAACGCAACGCGGGAGACATGTGCGAGGCATGCGCATGCGTGTGTGTGAGAGAGGGAGAGAGAGAGAGTGTGTGTGTGAGTGTGAGTGCACACACAGACACAGGCACAGACACAGACATACACACACACACACACACAGATAGACAGACAGACACATGCAGACACAGACATACAGACACGCAGACACACACATACACACACACACACACGCAGAGATAGACAGACATACACAGACAGACACACAGACAGACACACATACACAGAGCAAGTTGACAAGTCAACAAGTCAACAAGTCAACAGCAGGTCCAGCTGCACAGTGCGTACAGTTGTCTGGATCATTCTTGATGTAGTCGCGGATGAAGCGGTCGCGCCTCAGGTTGGCGTCGCTGAAGTAGAACTTGAGCTGCACATGTGCATCACAGAGCGCGGCCCCCAAGGCCCCACAGAAAGAAGGATGGGGTGAGGGCCCACAACGACAACAGCAACAACACAAGAGGAGGAACACGGGAGGGGGGGCGCAAGTGCAAAGAAGTCAGCAGAAGGAGAAGTCAGAGGCATGACACAGCTCATGCCACACACAGCAAGCACGAGGCAGGCCTACCGGTTCGATGAGCCGCCTGACTTTGCCCTTGATACGCTTCTTCTTCTTGTTCCTCTTCCCTGCCTCTGCTTCCCTGGGTCCCTCCTCCTCCTCCTCCTCCTGCTGCTGCTGCTGCTGCTCATGCTGTTCGTCTTCAGCCTCGGCCATCTTTGCGTGTGCGTCTGCTGCTGCTGCTGCAGTGGACGCAGCTGCCGTTTCCTCTTTTTCGCTCATCATCGTTGTTGTTGCATTCGTTCGCAAGTTGTTGTGGTTTGTGGGCATTTCGTGCTGTTGTGGTGGTTCGCGCTCTCTCTCTCTCTCTCTCTCTCTCTCTCTCTCTCTCTCTCTCTGTACGCGCGTGCGTGTGTGTCAATGCTGTTCCACTGCCATCCACATCACAACCTCACACCCTTTCTGTCCCCACTGCTCCACAAAACCCGTACGTCCACCATTCTAATCATCAAAGGCGATCGAGAGAGAGTGTGTGTGTGTGTGATAGGAAGGGGTCAATCAAGCTGCATGTAACCACAAGCCAGTGTGCTCAGCACGCAGAGTAACAACGTGAACCAACTAAACGAAAGGGGACGCAGCAACCAAGCACCAACAATAAGCGCGACAATAAGAGCGATGACAACCGCAGCTAATCCACCCGTCCACCACCACACCATGGGTTCAGCTTTATCTCACACCCATCCCGCACGCCATCCTCACCACGCATTCACATGAACGTGTTCATGTGCGTCTGCGTCAGCAGCTGGTGCCGTCGTCACCCTCTCCGTCCTCCTCATCTGACGAGAAGAAGTCTGACGAGTCATCGCCAGGTGTCGATGCCTTCGTTGCACTCACGCCCAGTGACAGCACGTGCATGCTGCTGCTCCCTTGCGTCCTGCCATTCACAACACCGCCACCACTAACTTCGTTACCACCGTCACTGTCACTGTCATACATGTCTCCCTCATCGTCATCATTGTCGTTGTTGTCGCCGTTAGCATCCGCGTTTGCTCCGAGTGCTGCTTGCTGCATCGCCCGAATCAGCGCGGTTCGCTCTTCATCAGCACCATCACCATCACCATCACCGTCATCATAATGAAGTGGCTGCTGCCTCGTTTGGTGCCCTGGCCTGTCGTCATCAGCAACACCTTCCCCTTCACTCGCGCTGCCATCATCCTCTGGTACCCGCCCTGCATAGTCGAAGTTGTCATACAGACCAGCACCATCACCATCACCATTGTCGTCGTTGTCGTTGTCACTGTCAGAGTCTGCAAGGTTGAACACCTGCTTGAACCGCTCGTGGGTTGCACTCGTCTGCAAAGGCGAATGGGACGGGTGTGGTGTGCGTGTATGTGTGAGCATTGCGTTGTGTGAACGAGGGTGTGTTGTGCGAATGTGGGGTTGTGTGTGTGTGGGTTTGTGGGTTTGTGTGGTTGTGTTGTGGTGTGTGTGCTTGTGAACATGGTTCAAAACGACACGCATATCAAAGTTCGTGTTCGTGCGCACAGCTTGCTTTCACCTCCGCTCCACCCTCCCCCCGACTTGGTCTCACCTCCGACGGCGGCGGCGGTGCTGATTGTTGCGCTTCCTCGTGCTGGTGTTCGCTCGCCATTGGCGCTGTGGGTAACGTTGCACCCTCACCAATGGGCGGCATGGGTGCAATGCCATCGCGCTGCCGACGAACGGACGGCACCGAGGACACCGTATGCCGCGCTGGCTCCGGCTGCGCACAGGATGGGTGGTGGGATGGGAGGGGTGAATTGGAGCACGATTGGTGTTGAACAAACGTCACGTGCCATGTTGTGTGTGTGTGTGTGTGTATGTGTGTGTGTGTGTGTGTGTGTGATCGTTGCAGAAGGGAGGGAGGGAGGGGGGAAGAACAGAGGAAGGGAACAAGGGAAGAAAAGGGAGAGGGAATCAGTGCGACAAGCGGTGTGCGTCATGTCAACAACAGACGTACAATGTCGGGGGGAGGCGCGTCCTGTGTGATGTGCATGGAGATACGACGCTGGTGGTGGTGTGCAGTCCCATTGGACGTGTCGTGGTTGTGATTGGTGGGTGAGTGTGACGCAGTGTTGTGCATTGTGGTGACAGAGGCAGGCAATGAATGGCACCCAGTGCGGGAACCCACGACCAGCGGCTCAGACGAAAGCGCAAACGCCTTACAGCTCTGTCGACGTGTGCCTCTGCTCGTTGTTTGATGGACGACTGTCATGGCAGGTGCAGACGGCGGAGGGGAGGGCGTAAGACAGGCAAGCAACATGAGCAGGTGTAGCACGCGAGCAAGCGCGCACATGACAGGGAAGGGGACGGTGATGGTGACGGTGGTAACAGAGATACGCGCAGACGAGCAACACGTGTTTGCAGCACAGGCACAGGCAGACAGACAGACAGACACAGACAGACAGACAGACAGATAGACGGACAGACAGACAGACAGACGGACAGACAGACACCGACACAGACCTCTGTTGATCCTTCGACGAGCGGGCTGCCGATGGGGATGGCGGCGGTGATTCGGGCTGCGCGTTTGAACGCCAGCATCCACTGCTGCACTTCATCCAATCGGTCGCCGTAGATCTGCACGACAACAACACGGGGATTACACAGCAGGTGTGCAGGGGGGTGAGGGCGTGGTAGATGAGTGTGAATGAGAGCGTGCGCTGCCTGGTGGCGTTTAGGACAGATTGTCGAAATGACAAACAGGTAGGCAGGCAGGAAGGCAGGCACACACATACACACACACACGCAACCGCACACACACACATACATACATACATTCACGTACACACATGCACACATGCACACAGACAACCGCAACCACACACGTGGTAGGTGCGTTTTGGTGTGACGATGCCAAAGGCCAAGGACTTGTTGACGTTCTCGCCCCAGATGCACTTGCATCGACTGGCACACACAATCTCTCTGCACTGCGTCATGTCAATTGAGCCAGCCTCCTTTGCGTCCGTCTGCCAGCAAGGTACACCATACATATGCACACAAATGCGTGTGCGTGTGTGCAAGTGTGAGGTTGGCGATCGACGACAACGCAAGCGTCACCCTGCAGGAAGCGCGGCGAGGGGTTGGCGCCAAGCAGAACACAAGACGATACACCGTACCTCGGCCTTGAAGTAGCGGAGCATGTGGCGTGTGTCGAGGGTGAAGTACCGCCGTTTCCAGTTTCGCACGCGGCCACCTTCTTTGGTGAGCCACCCGCTCATCACAGGCTTCCCCATCAGTGGCAACTGTGGTGGTGTGAAGCGGACGTGGGTCTGCTGTTGTGGTTGTTGTTGTCTGCGTTGCCTGCCTGTCCTTCTTTTGTTTTTTTCCAAGTGGATTGTGAACATTCACCAAAATCATCCACCAATCATCCGCACCTATAGATTTCTAATGGGTATCGTTTACAATATTCTAGCCAAACAAAACTCAGAGGACGACGATGGGCAACGTGTGCGATGTGCATCGTCCATCCGTCATGGGAGTTGCAATATGTGAAGGTCAGAGCGGGCTGTTGCTGTGTCGTAATCTGGACGTGAGGGACGTGTGTGGCGCTGGGGCCGTGTTTGGTCTGGAGCCCATGTTGCTGGTGCGCAGACCCGCAGCGCCCAGCATCGACGCGAGCCGGCTGCGGTGGCTGCTGACGCGCTGAAACCTGCAGCCCGCGGTGATGAGTGAGTGAGTGAGTGAGTGAGTGAGTGAGTGAGTGAGTGAGTGAGTGAGTGAGTGAGTGAGTGAGTGAGTGAGTGAGTGAGTGAGTGAGTGAGTGAGTGAGTGAGCGAGTGAACGAGTTGGTGTGTAGCAGGTGGGCACTGGGCCAGTCAGTACCTGAATTCGGAGGTGACAAAGGCGGAGTTTGAGCGAACGCGTAATCGGTCCGGCACAGAGTCCACGCGGCGGTTCGCTGAACAGCGAAGACAAAAGTGGCGGCAATCGTCGTCGTTGTTGGAGGAAGGGTGTGTATGTGTGTATGTGTGTGTGTGTGTGCATAGGGTGAGACACGACGTGGAAATGAGGACGAAGAAGGCCTCGTTGCGTGTGTGAGACGCGCGCGCGCGTACATGTGTGTAGATGCGCTGTGTTGATGTGTGGCGTGTAGATGTGTGGCGTGTAGATGTGAGAGGCTGTGCTTCGTCTCCACCCGAAACAAAACATGCCATCGTCAGTGTACCCAGAGGTAAGGGCGCTGCCTGCTTGAAGGACAGCGTCCTGCTCAGTCCAGCTGTGTGTGTGTGTGTGTGTGTGTGTGTGTGTGTGTGTGTGTGTGTGTGTGTGTGTGTGTGTGAG